ACAGGTGATTATTGTTCCCCGTTTGATCTATCACACTTCTGAGGAGGTGTTACACCACTTTGAGGGAGACCTGAACAGACAAAAACGAGAACCAATTACAGTGGTAACTTCAGCTACGTTGCTGATAGCAAGCGGAGTTGGAGCAGGTACAGGCATAGCCTCCCTAGTAAAAGATCAGGAATTACAAAGTTTGCAGATGGCTGTAGATGAGGATTTAGCAAAACTAGAACAATCTATTAAAGATTTAGCCACTTCAGTAAAATCTTTATCAGAAGTAGTACTGCAAAATAGAAGAGGATTAGATCTATTATTCCTAAAGGAAGGAGGGTTATGTGTAGCTCTCGGTGAAGAATGTTGCTCTTTTGCTGACCATACAGGAGTAGTCCAGGACACTATGTCTGAACTCCGGAGAAGGTTAGATCAACGTAAAAAGAATCGTGAGGCGGGCAGATCATGGTATGAAAATTGGTTTAATGTTTCACCCTGGATAACCACTTTGTTGTCTACTTTAGCAGGACCGCTTATTATATTGATTTTGGGACTTGTATTTGGGCCTTGTATATTACGCTGTATTTTACGCTTTATTAGAGAACGATTTGAGATAGCGAAACTGCTTATTTTAACTATGGAAGCTGAAACAAAATATGAAAAGGTACCTACCAATGAAAATGAAAACTATAATGAAGATGAGGATTGTGACTGTGAAAATCATAAATGTATCTGTAAGAAAACATCTTGTGAATGCTGGCAACCATGTAATCAATGTTTAAATGAAAGTAGTATGTAATAAACAATAATAGGATAAAAAGAAAAAGGGGGGATTGTAAGAAACTATGAGTTAGGGTATTGTTTATTAAGAATTATGTTAAGCCCAATGTAAAGGTTAGGCAATAAAAATCGCTTACTCAAACAAGTCACCGGACACAGCTTGTGTAAGAAAAGATAACCGCAATCGCTTACATAAACTAACCAAGTACCGCTTATGCAAACATAGTAGCCGTTGACTAAAGATAACCATAAGGTGTTCCAGGAACTGGTAGAAATAAGACAAACAACTCCGTAAAAGGATATATGGGTAAAAGGTCAACTATGGAATAAGGAGGAAGAATTCTTACTTCAGCCTCAACGACCACCAGAAGGCAGAAGTGGACCCCCTGGCAACAGCTGAAGCATGCGCAGAGTACCACAACTACGTCACAAACACGGAAATAAAGATGTATAAAAGGGCGTTGTTTGAACTGCTCAGCACTCCCCTGTAGTCCAGCGCTGTTTTGCTCATATTCTACTTGCTATAATTAATAAAATAGTGATTGGATTATGATCCGTTGTGGTCTCAATTTATAACAATAACCACATAGTAGTCTTCAGTTTTATCTTTTTTTTAAAGAAAAAAACCAAACCCAACCTTTTGTATACAGAAGAACAAACCCAACAAAAGAAACACAGAAAGATACAGCCAAGTTAGCCCAATTAGATATATAAGAGGATTTTGCGGGGAAAACACTGGGTGTTTACTGCCCTGTTTTCTAGAGAGATTAGGTTTGGTTTTGGCTGTGGCCTGTGGTATGCCAGCATTCCTGACTTCAGAGCTCTGTACTGTGTCAATAAGTTATTTGTGATACCATGTTTAAAAGTAACACTACACTGATGCTTAGCCATCCATAGGTATTTTTCCAATCAGTGTTTCTGGGTCTGGTCTGCACCACCAAAATCAGTTTATTTCTTGTGATCGTTTAACAGTTTTCTCCTGTTGTTTTCTTTCATACAAACTTGTAAATATTTAGAGTAATACCTGTTGGGGTTTTGTTAGTGATCAACTAAGATACAACTAGAGTGGGTAGCTCTTTGCTGGCTTTCACACATGGCTGAAGGAGACTGAGCACTTCAGGGTGCTCATTTTCTAGACTTGTAATGAGACAGAGGGCCCAAAGGAGTTTATAGCCTTTGTGAATGAGGGTCTGAAGGTGTTCAGTAAAATTTTGAGGAACTGATCATAGATCTTTGCCTACTTCACCTCTGTCCTCACCACGTCCTCCTTACCTCTGGTAAGCAATGCCGAGTTCTCATCTGTCACTTAAGGTACCTATTCTACTAATTTTCAGTGTGTTACAGCTGAAAAAAAGCTGTTTATTCCTTGATTACTCAAGAAGGTTATTTGCACTGGACCTGGGTATTCTCTAACTTAGCTTTAGAAGTTTTTTATATTTATAATTTTTTATACTATACAGTTTATTTATAATTCCTTTACTATATGAAGACAAATATGTATGTTTGTTCAGATAGACACAGTTCCTATATAACAATTTCAGGACCCATGTTAGCATGCAGTAGGTTCAGAGCTGCCTCAGCTTCCTATGAAAATAAACCACTCAGGTGTATCCAATCTTGCCATAAGGCTAATAAATAGTGACAGACTAGACCTATATTTGCCTGCTGCTTATAGCTATCACCTGGTGAGTAGCTTGCATACCTTGTGCTTTTTTCCAAAGAGCTATTTAAAGTTTATTCGATTTTGTTATCATTTCCCTTTAGGATTAGCAGAAAAAAAATGGTACTTTCACATATTAAAAGGAACAAAAGCAAACAACATTATCTGTTCTGCTAGATTAGGTGTTATTATGAAGAAAGTGAACATAGTTACCTAAGAGGTGCTTCTAGTGTTGTGTATTATAAGAGGATTTACTTGGAGTGTACAAAGTACGGCACACCAAATTGTGTTGCATTTTGATGAGCGTTAGCTTAATTTTCCTGATTTTGGTGTTTTTTTTATTCATTTTGGGGTCAGTCTTTTTAATATCTCTGTGATGTAAAATCTCAAAAGAATAGTAAAAATGATAAACAGATAAAAGTTACGAGCAGCATAGTGAAATCTGTAGCACAGTATCTTGCCAGTATGTGTTGGAGGTAGACGTGTAGAGTCATGTCATGAGTCTTTACATTTAAGTATTCTGTATTTTATACCAAAATGTCAGTAGATTGAATTGTTAAGTTCTATGATCCAGCAGCTGTTGCTGGGAACTGCTGAGAAAATCATAGAGTCATAGAATAGTTAGGGTTGGAAAGGACCTTAAGATCATCTAGTTCCAACCCCCCTGCCGTGGGTAGGGACACCTTACGCTAAATCATATCACCCAAGGCCTTGTCCAGCCTGGTCTTGAACACTGCCAGGGATGGAGCATTCACAGGCTCCCTGGGCAACCTATTCCAGTGCCTCACCACCCTAACAGGAAAGAATTTCTTCCTTATATCCAATCTAAACTTCCCCTGTTTAAGTTTTAACCAGTAACCCCTTGTCCTATCACTACAGTCTCTAATGAAGAGTCCATCCCCAGCATCCCTGTAGGCCCCTTTCAGCTACTGGAAGGCTGCTATGAGGTCTCCACGCAGCCTTCTCTTCTCCAGGCTGAACAGCCGTAACTTCCTCAGCCTGTCTTCATACGGGAGGTGCTCCAGTCCCCTGATCATCCTCGTGGCCCTTCTCTGGACTTGTTCCAACAGTTCCATGTCCTTTTTATGTTGAGGACACCAGAACTGCACACAATACTCCAGGTGAGGTCTCACAAGAGCAGAGCAGAGGGGCAGGATCACCTCCTTCGACCTTCTGGTCACGCTCCTTTTGATGCAGCCCGGGATATGGTTGGCTTTCTGGGCTGCAAGCGCACACTGAAGCCAGCTCATGTTCATTTTCTCATCGACCAACACCCCCAAGTCCTTCTCCGCAGGGCAGTTCTGAATCTCTTTTTTGCCCAACCTGTAGCTGTGCCTGGGATTGCTCCGACCCAGGTGTAGGACCTTGCACTTGGCATGGTAAAACTTCATGAGGTTGGCATCAGCCCACCTCACAAGCATGTCGAGGTCCCTCTGGATGGCATTCCTTCCCTCCAGCGTTATCAACCGAACCACACAGCTTGGTGTCATCGGCAAACTTGCTGGGGGCGCACTCAATCCCACTGTCCATGTCAGTGGCAAAGATGTTGAACAAGACCGGTCCCAACTCCGATCCCTGAGGGACACCACTCGTTACTGGTCTCCAGCTGGACATTGAGCCATTGACCACAACTCTTTGTGTGTGGCCATCCAGCCAGTTCTTTATCCATTGAGTGGTCCACCTACCAAATTGATGTCTCTCCAATGTAGAGACAAGGATGTTGTGTGGGACAGTGTTGAACACTTTGCACGTGTCCAGGTAGATGGACAACTGCTCTACCTCTGTCCAACAGTTCTGTAGCCCCATCATAGAAGGCCACCAAATTGGTCAGGCAGGATTTCCCCTTAGTGAAGCCATGCTGGCTGTCAGCAAGCACCTTGTTGTTTTTCATGTGCCTTAGCATGCCTTCCAGGAGAATCTGCTCCAAGATTTTGCCAGGCACAGAGGTGAGACTGGTCTGTAATTCCCCGGGTCATCCATTTTCCCCTTCTTGAAAATGGGGGTTATATTTCCCTTTTTCCAGTCATCGGGAACTTCACCTGACTGCCAAGATTTCTCAAATACGATGGCCAGCGGCTTCGCAACGTCATTCGCCAGCTCCTTCAGGACCCACGGATGGATCTCATCAGGACCCATGGACTTGTGCACATTCAGATTTTTAAGATGGTCTCGAACCAGTTCCTCTCCTACTACAGTGGGCGCAAGGTCTTCATTCTCACAGTTGCTGCATCTGCCTTCCAAGACTTGGGTGGTTTGGTCAGAGCCTTTGCCAGTGAAGACCGAGGCAAAGAAGTCATTCAGAACCTCAGCCTTCTCCAAATCCTGTGTAGCCAGTTCTCCTGAGAGCTTCCTGAGGGGGCCTACATTCTCCCTAGTCTGTTTTTTATTTGCTATGTACTTGTAGCATCCCTTCCTGTTATCTTTAATACCTCTAGCTAAGTTTAATTCTAACAGGGCCTTAGCTTTCTTAACCTGGTCCCTAGCTTCCTGGACAACATCCCTGTACTCTTTCCATGCCACCTGTCCTTGCTTCCACTTATTATAAGCCTCTTTTTTTCCTTCAGATTTTCCTCAGGAGCTCCTTATCCATCCAAGGAGGTCTCCTGGCCCTCCTGCTGCACTTATATAAACTCTAAATACTGGGTAGTCATTACGAGCTGCAGTCTGATTGTCTAATACAAGCAAAATGGGAGCAAAGCAGATATTACCTAGTATTCCCAACACTGAGTATGATTTCAGTGGCTTAATTATTTAGCTTTTGATCAATAATTCATGATCAGTGTCTTGAATTCACTGATGACTTCAGTACTATTTTGTGAGCTCAGACTTAAACTATATGATCAGACTCAAAATTCATTTGTACTTCAGTGTGCTGAAAATGTCTGTTTTTATTGTAATTCTTCATTAAAGCTTATTAGCTAAGGTAATTTTCATCCTTTAAGCACAGTTTTGTAAATAGGCATACCTGAACTTAAATCATGAAAGACTACTTACAGGAAGACTGTCCAATCAGTAAAATAAACTGCAAACCTACAGATAAAACATAAAACCTTTTATCAGATTTTCCTGATAAAAACAATTTGTAATTTGTAATGGTAAATATTTTCACTTACAGGAGTTTAGTAGACTGTAAATATCAAAAATCAAGGCAGTGCTGTGTACAGTATTAACATTCACCAGTTCGTGCAATCTTTTTTATCTTTATTATTCATTCTAGTGAAGAAGGACGAGGATTTGTTGGTTGTTTTTTTTTTGTCCGTATGACGCTGAGATAAGTTTTCTAATATCAAAGCCATTGTTTAAGGCAAAAATATGAAAAAAAGTGACTTTACAGTAGAGTAATTTTGAATATATAGAAGGGGAAATCTGGGGATCCTGAACTGCACAAAATTGTAATATTCAGAAGGCTGCATAGCGGGTAGATGTAGTAGCAGATGATATAACTAATTGTAGGGTGCTGTTCAAGGCCACCATGTATAGTTTATTGTTCTTATTCAAATAAAAATTATCCAATATTCTAACTCCAAGGACACATGTTTTCGTGCTCTAGCAACTTAGAGGCATACTGATCTGTTTCCATAGTGATTCTGGTCTATGATGAAGTGAAGATGTCTTACAGTTCTTTGATGTCTAGCTTCAAGAGAAGGCTGAAAGAAAATACTTGTCTAGAGATGCAGCCCTTTGCAGCTGCGATACACCACTGTATAATCCACCAGTTTCCAAAGTGTATTGCACTGAAACTCATAGGTACACTATTTTCCATTATGTCCCACTTTTGGGGAGGGGCACAAGAACAAAAGGGACTTCAGCAGGTTGGATTGATGAGAAGATCAGTGCTTCAGGTGTTCTGCACAAGCCCTGCAGTATACAGGTGAACTCTGCTGGCTATACACACAGAATATAGGATTGTGTCATATGTAATGTGACATGGATTTAACACCACATTTCTGTAAATCGTTTAGTTGAATCTGACTGATTAATCTTGCAACTTACATTGATACTGCACTATGAAACACCCACGTCAGCCCAGTCTTTAAATATGTGTTTAACTTTGCAGCCTTGTGATCAAGGTTGTGGACTGGGACACTGAAGAGGTGGGTTCAGTTCCTGCTCTAGTACAGTCATCCAGTGGGATACAGGGTAAGTCATTTAGGGCGCAGTTATTTTCAGCTGTTTAGGCTTGTCTGTGCACAGCTATGAACACCTGTCTAATTAAGACCTCAGGTATCATTCACAGTAGTGTTATATGATGAAGAAACTATATACTGTTGGCTTTCAGTTAATTGTATGACCAAATTTTTAAAGCTGGTAATGCCAAAGCTTCTCATTTGCAATGCGAGTTAACTGTAGTTCTGTCTTGCAGGAATTTTGAGGGAATGTAGATGATAAATCAGGGGTGTTTAATGGTGTTATTTGTCTTGTACATTCTTAGACAGGTGGTCACCCTCATTTTGGAATGTGGTTGTCACTCTGTTCCTGAGTTTTCCTTACATTTGTTCCCTTCTGTCTCATGTCACACTTTTCACAGCAGACAGTAAGTCCTTTGCATTCTTTCTGTTTAGTGCACATAAGATGATACACAAAACACCAAAATACTGGACGGGAATGTAGTTGCTACCTCAGTAGACATAGCACTTAAGTGTCCTGCAGTGAGTAGGTAGACCATGATGTTTGGCTCTATGAGGGGTGTACTGTAACCTCAAAACCGGTATATTGTTCAGAGCCTGGCACAGGTTTTGACCAAATGCTGCTCAATGTCATTGATATTGTATTGTCAGGAAAATAAAGCACAAGGAGATATTCCATTCTTATAATAACCTGTAGACTGTGAGGTAAATAAGATCAATATTCTTTGTCTGGTCCAGCAGTGGGTTTCTTCAGGTTTTATTTACTCTGTCTTTTTTTTCCTGCTATTCTTAGACTTGAGACTGTAGTTACTCCATGCTTAGGATCTTTGCAAGATCTTTATAGCAGAAGGTGATGTCCAGGTTTTCTGTAGCGAGTGGACCCACACAGGAGTGGAAAGTACCAGAAAATCTGCAGTCTCCTGCACAGCTTAGGAAAATTTAACTCTTCCAAAATAAACTATTCCATGAGATAAGTTACCTACTAAGGATATGCAAATTACAGTGTATTCTGACTCCAAAAAAAAAGGCCCTAGAAAGTTGACGCTGGATGAAGAAACTTGAAGTAAAATTTAGCTGGAGTTGAAGATAAATCCCAAGGTTTCTGAAATTTGCTCGGATTCTCTCTCATTGCAGAGATGAACAGATTGATTATACAACTTAATAGCTCTGAGTCTAAGCTCCTGAGGTCTTTAGGTCTTTGCTTTGTAGCTTGCTCTGACATGCTGCAGTATGCATCTCTCAGGTGCTTTTCTTTACCCTTACAATGGTTGCAATCAAAACTTCTAAGCCTTTAGAGTTTGTTGGGCAGCACAGTACTCTTATGTTGCAGCATAAGAGCCAGGCGTTTGAAAATTAGATGCCACGTTGCTGATTGGTGATGGCTGAATGTTTTGTTAGCTCTAGTGTTAAATACTCTGCAACACTAAGGAGTAAGTCAGGCTCTGAACTTTTCAGTGTGCTTAGTGTATGGATATATTTGCTTCCTATTAGTTTCACTGAAATAAATGAAGATACGTGCTTAAGTTAGTATTGTATCACCACTTCCTAGGAATAAAATGTTGAAAAAAGGTGTTACAAATATGTACAAAGGTGAAATAACAGTTGTGTTTTGTTTTTTTTTTTTGAGCATTTTTGAGTAATGTGAGATCTGGACCTACAATACTCCATTTAATTTCCACCTCATGTGCCTAATCTCTTTCTGGAGCCTGGTAGAAATGGGCTGATGTAGTGTTTTGCTTAGCTGGGTATAATCACTCTTTGTATATTGTGAAATCGTCTTTCTGAGCATTGGAAGTGCACATGGAGAAATCAACAGGTGATCTTTTAAAACTGTTTTAAGATTGGATGAAATTCAGAATGTTATGTGCACAGTATTTTCTGTATTTCTTTTATAAATTAAGTCTTGCTGCTGTGTTAGATGTCAAGGTGTTGAGTGTTTTAAGAGATGTCGATTCAGCTCCTGATTGCCTCACTGTGTATCTTAAAAGTTTGATTAATTGTCTAGAATTTCACACAAGTGAACAACTAGCTTGGATAATAATTAACTTTCAGTAGGGTTTGCCTCACAATGTTACAGTGCTTTGGAAATTTGCTGTCTCTGGGTTTTTCCTATCTTGGAAGATGTATGGGCAATTACATCAGTTAAAATTACTCATTGCATGTGATCAGAAAAGCTTTATGGACACTAATTCAAGCTTGAAGCTGTTAGGTTTCACATTTGTTGTGTCAAGTTCTGACTCTTCTTCAGTCACTCTGACTCTTTATTCCTTTCATAGGTGCCTATCTTGTGCCATACTTAATCTTGCTACTGATAATAGGGATTCCACTCTTTTTCTTGGAGCTTGCTGTTGGGCAGAGGATCCGCCGAGGGAGTATTGGTGTATGGAATTACATCAGCCCCAAACTTGGAGGAATTGGATTTGCAAGCTGCGTAGTAAGTTATTAACATTAATTGTGTGGCTTGTTAGACTTTCTGTTTTGCTGCAGGGAAAGGCTACTGATCTGTAGTTGAGCATCAAGGTCAGTTTACAATGTTTTGGGAGATCTTAAAACATTAAAAAGTGTTGATATAGATGTGTCTGTAAAACCACTTAACATGTATTTTGTGATTCTTTTGAAATAAGGAACTAGGAAACTAGTCTTCTGGAGAAAAAAAGCCTGTAAAAGTATAGGAGTTACGTGATAAATACAGAGAAGAGCAAAAATTTTGGCAAGTACTTTAATTGGGCAAGACATTCAGTTCTTTTTCTGACTTAATTAAAATTAGGTTCAGTGGCTGAAATATGCAGAAGTTCAGTTGGGATTTTTTTCTTATTTTTTTAATTTGCAAATGTAGTTGCACTTACTAACTTTTTTATCTGTCTTTTTTTATAGGTGTGTTTCTTTGTGGCTCTGTACTACAATGTCATTATTGGATGGAGTCTGTTTTACTTTTCCCAGTCTTTTCAGCATCCATTACCGTGGGACCAATGTCCTTTAGTTAAAAATACATCTCATACCTGTAAGTCTATATTAATGTTCTTAAGAATTCAAACCAAATGGAGAAATTCCACACACCCCCCCCCCCAACAATTCAAAAAGATACTTGTTGGAAAAGAGTGTTGCATGCAAAGCTGGTTTTGCATCTTAATGCAGTGTCACATTATTATACTTAGAAAAAATGCAACAAAACCCCGTAATTTAAGATAAATATTTTGAAAGGAACATCACCGTCAACAGCATTTTAAAGAGTAATGAAATAAGGAGAGTGCTGCTTAGTGTGTTACAGGGAAAAAAAAAGTTCTGATTACTCTTTTCCTGATGTTCAGACTGCTTTTTATGCTTACTTGCTGAAAAACAAAGGTGGAAGGATATTTCTACACTTCAATTGGTAGGATACTTCCTGGTGTTTCATTACTAACAAAGCAGAAAATTGAAAACTGTGAACATTAATAAAAGTCATGTGATAAAAGTATTGTTTGCTTTGTAAACCAGTAGAATTGAAATAATTGGTCATTGGTTTGTCACTATAATGTGATAGTCTTACATGGACGTATTATGTAATAGCATTAGAAGTTCTTTATCCCTTGGTTTTGGTTATCTCGTAACAAGTTACACACTTTGAACACTTTGCATTATCCTTGCTATTGAAATACAAAATGCTTATTTTAATTTCTTTTTATTTCAGATTGCTGTTTTTTTTTTTTTTTTTTCAATTACCTCTAATTTATTTGTTTGGGGGTTGTTTGACTGATTTAATAAAGTACATAATCGGGGACATTTAAAAAGTTCTATGACGTTTTTATAGTGTCTTTGCCTAAGTTCCTTGCTTCAGTTGTTTGAAATAATTCGTATTTCTGAATATTGGCACACAGGTAGCCAGAGTTCCACAAGCTCTTGTCTATTAGTTGAGCCACAGTGATTGTTCATGTATTCTTACCCTGTTTAAATAATAAGGTACAGTGTGTCAGACTAACTTCAGCAGAGGTCGTCTTAACTATGCTTACACAAAGAAAAGTATTACATATGATAACTTCCTATAATTTTTGACAGTTTATTTCAGTGAGGATCTGAAATCTGTGTTAGGTTTTCTTCAAATGAGTGTATCTTTCCCTTCTTTTCATTAATTACCTTGACTCAGGATAATAAAAAAAAAAACACTTCTGGAATGCACGTAGAAACTTTCATTTAACATTGCTGTGTAGAAGCCATTTTTTCTTTTTCTCATCACTTCGAGATGATCATAGAATCACAGAATAGTTAGGGCTGGAAAGGACCTTAAGATCATCTAGTTCCAACCCCCCCTGCCATGTGCAAGGACACCTCCCGCTAAACCATGCCACCCAAGGCCCTGTCTAACCAGGACTTGAACGCCGCCAGGGATGGAGCATTCACAGCTTCCCTGGGCAACCCATTCCAGTGCCTCACCACCCTAACAGGAAAGAATTTCCTTCTTATATGCAATCTAAACTTCCCCTGTTTAAGTTTTAACCCATTACTCCTTGTCCTATCACTACAGTCTCTAATGAAGAGTCCCTCCCCAGCATCCCTGTAGGCCCCTTTCAGCTACTGGAAGGCTGCTATGAGGTCTCCATGCAGCCTTCTCTTCTCCAGGCTGAACAGCCGTAACTTCCTCAGCCTGTCTTCATACCGGAGGTGCTCCAGTCCCCTGATCATCCTCATGGCCCTTCTCTGGACTTGTTCCAACAGTTCCATGTCCTTTTTATGTTGAGGACACCAGAACTGCACACAATACTCCAGGTGAGGTCTCACAAGAGCAGAGCAGAGGGGCAGGATCACCTCCTTCGACCTTCTGGTCACGCTCCTTTTGATGCAGCCCAGGATATGGTTGGCTTTCTGGGCTGCAAGCGCACACTGAAGCCGGCTCATGTTCATTTTCTCATCGACCAACACCCCCAAGTCCTTCTCCGCAGGGCAGTTCTGAATCTCTTTTTTGCCCAACCTGTAGCTGTGCCTGGGATTGCTCCGACCCAGGTGTAGGACCTTGCACTTGGCATGGTAAAACTTCATGAGGTTGGCATCAGCCCACCTCACAAGCATGTTGAGGTCCCTCTGGATGGCATTCCTTCCCTCCAGCGTTATCAACCGAACCACACAGCTTGGTGTCATCGGCAAACTTGCTGAGGGCGCACTCAATCCCACTGTCCATTTCAGTGACAAAGATGTTCCACAAGACCGATCCCTGAGAGACACCACTTGTTACTGGTCTCCAGCTGGACATTGAGCCATTGACCACAACTCTTTGTGTGCAGCCATCCAGCCAGTTCTTTATCCATTGAGTGGTCCACCTACCAAATTGATGTCTCTCCAATGTAGAGACAAGGATGTTGTGTGGGACAGTGTTGAACACTTTGCACGTGTCCAGGTAGATGACATCAACTGCTCTACCTCTGTCCATCAGTTCTGTAGCCCCATCATAGAAGGCCACCAAATTGGTCAGGCAGGATTTCCCCTTAGTGAAGCCATGCTGGCTGTCAGCAAGCACCTTGTTGTTTTTCATGTGCCTTAGCATGCCTTCCAGGAGAATCTGCTCCAAGATTTTGCCAGGCACAGAGGTGAGACTGACTGGTCTGTAATTCCCCGGGTCATCCATTTTCCCCTTCTTGAAAATGGGGGTTATATTTCCCTTTTTCCAGTCATCGGGAACTTCACCTGACTGCCATGATTTCTCAAATATGATGGCCAGCGGCTTCACAACTTCATTCGCCAGCTCCTTCAGGACCCGTGGATGGATCTCATCAGGACCCATGGACTTGTGCACATTCAGGTTTTTAAGATGGTCTCAAACCAGTTCCTCTCCTACAGTGGGCGCAAGGTCTTCATTCTCACAGTTGCTGCATCTGCCTTCCAAGACTTGGGTGGTTTGGTCAGAGCCTTTGCCAGTGAAGACCGAGGCAAAGAAGTCATTCAGAACCTCAGCCTTCTCCAAATCCTGTGTAGCCAGTTCTCCTGAGAGCTTCCTGAGGGGGCCTACATTCTCCCTAGTCTGTTTTTTATTTGCTATGTACTTGTAGCATCCCTTCCTGTTATCTTTAATACCTCTAGCTAAGTTTAATTCTAACAGGGCCTTAGCTTTTCTAACCTGGTCCCTAGCTTCCTGGACAACATCCCTGTACTCTTTCCATGCCACCTGTCCTTGCTTCCACTTATTATAAGCCTCTTTTTTCATTTGAAGTTTCCTCAACAGCTCCTTATCCATCCAAGGAGGTCTCCTGGCCCTCCTGCTGCATTTCCTTCTGGTTGGGATGCAACAGTCCTGAGCTTGTAGTAGGTGATCCTTGAATATCAACCAAGAAATGATGATGATTTCGTTGATTGATTTTTTATTTGATTTTATTTGTTTTTGATTTGATTCATTGATGATGATTTTATTGTTTCTAATAGTAGTTAATTGCTTGTTGATTTGAGTGTCATATCAAAGCAGACACAAGCAAGAATTTGTTTTCCATGTATTTTCAAAATGGTGTTCAATTTTAGAGAGATGCATTTCATAGTTTACATCACAGTATCATATGTAGGTAATGTCATAAAGAGAATGCATGTCTTCATCTAGACCAGACTACTATTTAGTAATTAAGTGAAAAATAAATTCTGCCTAGCACTTGGCTTGACCATATGCAAATAAATAACTTATCCCAAAAGGGTGTTTTAGAAAGGTCTAACCAGAACCTTTCACCCTTAGCAGTCACTTTCTCTTTTAGACAACATTTTAAGACACTTTTAGTTTAGTTTTTCGGAAATGATGGTGACACAATTGCAAATATTAAGAATTGGTATAACACTGTTATGAAATGTTGGGAAAATACTTTTGTCCTGAGTCCCATTATTTACTTGCTAACATTTCTTGACAGTTGTGGAGCCAGAGTGTGAAAAGAGTTCTGCAACCACTTATTACTGGTACAGAGAAGCACTGAATATTTCCAGCTCTCTGTCAGAAAGCGGGGGTTTAAACTGGAAGATGACTATCTGCTTGCTGGCTGCCTGGGTCATGGTATGCCTAGCCATGATCAAAGGAATTCAGTCCTCAGGCAAAGTGAGTATACTGTTTACCTAAATGATAGTGTTTTACTTTGAAACGTTTCATGACATTTTTGTTCACCATATGCTCTGTTTACTCTCTCCTGAAATCTGTAGGAGCAGGTTAGAAGCTGTGACTCACCCTAGTATAATCTCAGGTAGAGGAATGTTAGTAGTTGAGGATTAAAACTGTAGTAATTTTAGTGGGAATTATATTAATTTACTGGGAGTTGAGATCTCAAGAATAATTTTCTATTCCCATCAGCATAACTGTTATTCATAACATAATGTGCAGCATAAGTCTGTGTGCTTCTAAATGTCTACGAATTAGGTTCCCATGTATACTCACATTATGTTTGCATTGCACCCAGATCCTCAAAAGGCCTTGCCATTTTTGTTACTGTCATTGGTACACATGCTTCTGTCATTAGCACAGCTGGTTTTCAGGATTCTGGATTGTTTCTTTTGTCTAATGACTGCTATCCCTTTGCATCTGAGTACACCACCCTGTCTTTCCTTTCTATGCAGCCAGCTGGATTGGCTAGTGAGTGTTTTGCTAGCTCTGTTGATCTCTGTGGGATTCTAAATGAAAAGTAATCTATTTCAATAGCAAAACTTTTTGCTATTAAAAAGTTTGGCACTGAGGTGGAAAATTCTGTGACCTCTTTAGTGTATTTTAATTAAAGAACTAGCAAGTTTAATGAGAGAATTATTTTACTGTAAAGTACAGAATAGATTTGCTTTTCAGTGATGGAGAATGAAAGATTGTATTTGATTACTTTTATTTTTTTGCTGTTTTGGCATTGAGTGTTGCTTAGTGGTTCTAATCCATTGGTTATATACTTCCATTGACTTTTGTCTCCTGAAGACAAAAAGAATTTCTCTTTGTGCTCTACAGCTTTACTATACCATGTACTTGAATCAAAGTGCATTTGTAAAGTGAAACATTTCTGAAACAATCTACTTCTGTCCTTGTCATCATCTTATTCGATTCGCACTGAATTTCCCTGAAAGCCTAGCTGTTTTCAGTTAGTCAACACAATGACAACTGTATTGTTTTAGTAGAGAATTTATTTTACAGTTGAGATTTTGCTTTCTTCTGCAGAGACAAAGGGAATAGGAAGTTCCCCTACATGTTCTGTAGCACCATATGATTATCAATTCAGTCGTATATCAAAGAGATACTGAATAGTGAATGAAGCTATTGAAAATAAAGTGCATGGCTGTCATGTTAAATTTCTTCTTAATGTCTTTCAGATCATGTATTTTAGTTCCCTTTTTCCTTATGTGGTACTTTTATGCTTTCTGATCAGAGGACTGCTCCTTAATGGGTCAGTGGATGGAATTCGTCACATGTTCACACCTAAGGTGCGTGCGTGCTTAATTTCTGTTTGCAATGTATGCAGTGGCAATTTGACCATTTATGAATGCTCTCATTTAAGCTTATTGTCTTCATAGAACATTTAGCTGTATTTCTGTTAAATGAGATAACAAGCCCTGAGGTCCAAAGGCTCTGTCACAGACGCCTGTGTAGAGTTACCTTCTTTAGGTGAAAGGTTCCCAGAGTTAGATGCTTTTACAAAGCTAATGACTGAAAGTGCTGTTTACAGGATTCAGGATGTTCAGAGAGGTCCAAATACTGAAAAGAGAAGTGAATCTTAAATCTTGCCATTCGATAGGATTGAAATGCCTAGTTCTGGGATGTCACAGTGAAATGCCTTACCTTGAACGCTGTCATGGCTTTATTTAATTAACTGACACCTTCTGAAAGAGGACAGGTTTGTTCCTTTTTAGAAATAAATTAATTCTGTTTGCATAGTAGCCCAAAGTACAGAGGAATTATCTTTAATACTAAAATAGTCTAAGTACTCACCACTCAGCTTTCCTTATTGTGTTCTTTATGGTTGTCATGCTGAGATAGCAGCAGGTCTAAAAATTTTTTTTTTTTTTTAATTTTTTTTTTTTTTTGACTGTCAACATTTTAACTGGGAGTGTGTATTACAGAGCTTTAGATTTTATAACTACGGAGGTTAGAAAGGCTTTTGCAAATCATTGTTTAGCCTGAAGATCTAAATTATGCTGGCCCACACCCATCTCAAGTGCTTGTAACCATATGCAGACTACAGGAACAGTGCATTTGAGTAGTCAGAGTCATACTCAGCAATGCATAATGCTGGGCTTCATACTGTATTATGAAATGAACTTCCCAACAAGTCCACTTCATAATACAGTTAAGCAGGACAGGAGTGATATTTTAAAAACAAAAGCCAAATAATAGGCTTATTAAAATCAATGCACATAGTGGCTAATGCCAGATGACAGGTTGTTGTCAGTTGTATCTATCCCAGGTGTTTTGAGTCTCTGGAGAACTGTCATAAAAATGACTTTTGTTAGCTATGACACTGTTATTTCTTGCATTGTGATACATAGTCATAGTCATGGTAGGTGGACCACTCACTGTCACGGCTTTAGAGTTGTGGTTCTTCAGGAACTTGCAGGCTGCTTTGGCAAATCCTGGAAATCAGAGGAACAGATAAATGTAATGCTTACTGACAAAGTCTGTAGCAGAGATGGAGAGATGGAATACAGGCCTCTAGAAGTTATAATTCAGTTTCTTGACCACATTTTTAGTCCTTTCTTTAACTAGAGAAGTGTCACTAAATACTGAAGGAAACACTGAAACACCCCTTGAATACCAACACCTCTTCACTGTTTCATGTTTCATAAGTCAGACCTAAAAGAAATTGCAGCTGATGCTTACTTTAAAAGTTATATTTTAACTTAGTTACACAGTTGTTCCAAGTTTTAGTTCCTTCTGCTGGTTTCCAGTTCTGTATCTCAAGTTGTGGTTTAAATTTGAGGTTAGGAGACCTGTATGTCACATACAGTATATGTGAATATAAACCTTCAAAAGTATTTTCATTATAATGTCTGATTGTTTCTGTACTTGGGCCCAAATTTGGAGTGTAGATTCATATGAAACTACCTAAGGGAATTTAGACTCCCATACTTGTTTCCATTCACTCCATAGCGCTAACAGTTTCTCTGGGGAGGAAGGCTGTAAAAAGGATTGCTAAACTGATCCAAATTGAAAATTACACAGATAGACATGAGAGGGGAGAGGAAAACATCTTCTTACCCTTGATTAGTTCAGTTTTGCAACCACATTTAGACCACCAACAACCACAACATACTCCCACAGAAGAGTTGTGTTAGCACAGCAGAGGACTAGCACACATTGGTGCAGGGGTGAGAGCACAGGGCTTATGAAGAAGGTGAGAATTTCTCTGTTTGGTGTGGTTGATGAATAAAGGATAAAATCTAAATAATAACCTTAATGAAAAACCTAAAGAAAGGTACATGTAAAGCCCACTGAAGTCAACTGCTGTAATGAAACTGCAGTAGGAGTGAATGAAGTTTAAATACAAAGCCCCCAAAATGTCACTGAAAAAATATTACATAGCAAATCAATTACAAATTTATTTTGAAATGCTAGACAATGTGTGTCTGAGTGCATACTGACTTGATGGTGCTGAATTACACATTCCAGAAAGCGAAAAGTGTTTTGATACTTTATCCAGTTACAGATTTGGCAAAAATTAAGAATATTCCTTGAACTCCCTCTAGTGGAAAAGCTCCAGCATGACTCTGATGCAGGCAGCTAGAACTATGTGCAATAGCTACTTGTGCATTGTAATTAAAATGAAAATTGTGAGTCTGGAACAAGTTTATTGTCATAAACACTGTCTCCCTCCCCGAATATACTGTATTTTAGCTATATATAAATAAATAAAGCAGGTACCTTCTGCCTATTTATAATAAATGATATACCTTTATGGGGAACTGGAAAATTTTTCAAAACCTTATAATAACAGATTGTTTTGTTTTTTTTTCCTTCAAGTAAGGTAAGACAGACAGTCTAACAGTTCTCGCATCTATGCTCATGGTTTTTGGTTTTACTGTTTTCAGTAAGCCTAGGGTTTGAGTGTTTGTTTTTTTTTAAATTACATGTGCAAACGTAAGGCCTTTCACTGTTAAAGGGAGGCCCTGAATCAACTTCAGAAAATTTAATGTATAAATTTCACATATAATTCTTTTTATGATTCAGTATCTAAAAGAATATGAGATAGACAGACTTACAACTTTGTTGTAAGATGACTTATAACTTTGTAACAAAGATATTTCTTGAAGTACAATCATCTGAATGAACAATACAGTTCAGTTTTTTTGATAAACGCTTAAGTGTCCCTCAAATACCTGACCCATTTAATTTAGGGTAAGTTCAAGGCATCTGGCTTAAGGAAGATTTGACTCGTGAGCTATAGAGATTGTGGTGGACAACGTTTACTTCATCTGTTGCATTTTGCTTTACATATTTGCATGCGTAGAATCCCATATAAGCATGTGTATCTCATGTTCACCATTTTTTTTTCTTTTGACAAGTAACAATAAAGCAACTTTCAGCATACTTAATGCATTTATGAGTGTTGATCATCTCAAAATACACTGTAATTCTAACAACTCTCAATACATACACTGTTAAAAAAAGGACAGTAAATACTGTAAAATTAAAATATAACTTCTATCTTATTTCTCAGTATAGCTGCTTTTTGGATTATCATATATCTCGAGCAGTGTCTCATTATTGGGAACACAGTATATAGCACGTTTCTCTTTAAGGATTGTATCATATAAAATTAAGAGAATTTCTAGTCCAGAAGTTCACTGAACTTTAGGTGTCACATTCAGCTTTCATTCTATCATAATGAAAATACATTTGTAGTTTAGTATTAGTGTTTTATGATGTAGATTGTCTTCCTGTTGTTATTTTTTTGTTTGTTTTTCTGTTATCTATTTCTGTTGTAATAGAAATGCATTTTATAGCTGACATATATTATATCTAATTTCAAACAGCTTGAAATAATGCTGGAGCCCAAGGTCTGGAGAGAAGCTGCTACTCAGGTGTTCTTTGCCTTAGGGCTTGGATTTGGTGGAGTCATTGCCTTTTCAAGCTACAACAAGAGAGACAACAACTGCCATTTTGATGCTGTACTGGTGTCCTTCATCAATTTTTTCACTTCTGTGCTGGCAACTTTGGTGGTGTTTGCAGTTCTGGGCTTCAAAGCCAATATCATAAATGAAAAATGTGTTATCCAGTATGAATTTTTTTTTTTTATTTATATTTCATGTATGAATTAACACAGGTCATTGAGTTTGATTTCTCTGTTTTATTATGTTTTACAGAAATTCAGACAAGATTTTAAAACTTTTAAAAATGGGCAATCTGAGCCAGGATATGATCCCACATCATATCAATTTCTCAAGCATTACAGCAGAAGATTACAATTTAGTTTACGACATTATTCAGAAAGTTAAAGAAGAAGAGTTTGATTCTCTTGGTCTGAAATCTTGTCAAATTGAAGATGAACTTAACAAGGTGAGAGTAATAAGCGAATCTTGAAAACAGAGATGATGAGCAGATGAATATTTGTAAGTCTGTGTAAGTATACTTCACAGTTTGTTTCAGACTATCAGTACAGTGTACCTGTGAGAAGTACACCTATAGAGATCCATATGAAAACACAGTTTTGTGCAGCGTTACATTCTAGCTCACCTAAGGACTTTCGGGTTAGATGTCCTAATATAGTCTTCACTGATTTATAATGTATTTTGATCCTTATATTGCTCTCCTCAGGAAGTGATAAGTTTTTAAAGTTCTGTTCTTTAGAAGAGTAGAGCATGATAATTTTTCCAAAGACTGAACAGAGGTGTACAGTGTCATACTTTGATGTCTTCCAATGTTAAGATACAATCATTAAACATAAATACGGTTTCATTAGAAAGTAAAAAAGTTATTATTTACTTATTAGATAATTGTTTAATGAATATCATCCTGGTTTAAAATCTTTACTGTAAGCCAGATCTGTAAATTTTCTAGCTTTTTCAGGGGGACTTCCAGTTACAAGCATAGACCTCTATATGGTTGTGCCAGCGTCTGAAGCTAAAATGTAAAATCAGTGACTTAGACATTAAAAGTTTCTGTACTATTCCTGCCATTTAAATTTGAAAGAAATAATTATAGAAATGAACTCCTTTATATACTTAGTGGAGAAAACTGTGTATTTTGTAGCAGTCCTGTATAATAATAGCTGTTATGCAAAATTATTAATGAAAGAGAGATAGAAGTTCCAGCTGGACACAAGAGGGAAATTTTTTCACAATGAGAACAATCAGTCTTTGCAATAATTTTCTCTGGGAAGTGGTGCATTGCCTAGCACTGAACATTTCTATGATTGAGCAGAACAGGGTGCTGGAACATCTTGTTTAGACTATGCTTTTGCCAGGAAAGGTTGCACCAGATTATTCTTGAGGTCCCTTCCAACCTGGTATTCCATGATCCTCTGAAAGAAATGTGTTGCTAATACCATTCAATTTACAGATTCTCAGCCAAATCCAATGTTTCAGTAAATCCAGTATTAATTAAGTTTGAAGGTTTGGAAGAATTGCATATTTGATGGCTACCTTTAAGTTTTAATCAATGACGTTGTATGAACAGGAAGTCAGACTATCGTACTACAAAAAAAAAAAAAAAAAAAAAGAAATACTGTCCATGAATAATAATGGGGATTTTTCTTACTGACAGGCGGTTCAAGGAACTGGTTTAGCTTTTATTGCCTTCACAGAAGCAATGGCCCACTTCCCTGCTTCTCCATTCTGGTCAGTCATGTTCTTCCTCATGTTAGTAAATTTGGGACTTGGAAGTATGTTTGGAACCATTGAAGGCATCATCACACCTATTGTTGATACCTTCAAAGTCAGGAAAGAAATTCTTACTGGTGAGTTGCACAAACTTTCTTTTCTCACTAGAGAGTTAAGGTAAGGGGTTTTTTTTTGATCATACGATCATTTCTTGTTTTTTGACATGAGAGTTTTCAGTGCTGACATTTTACAAAGCAGTAAATCATTGTATTCCAGACTGTTCTTCCAGTCTTAAACAAAATATGTAGTTGTTTGGGGTTTTTCATTTAAATGCCTAAAGTTATTTGAGGTGTAGCCTGTTTATATAGCTCTGATCTTGTAGCAATTTCTCTTTTTGAGGTAGAAGGGCAGCATAAAATGTGAAAGTTAAGTTTTGGAAAATCTGCATGACATCTGCAAAGGACTTGGTATGTTATGCACAAATTTTGTGACAGAAAGGATAGAAAAATAAAAATATAATAAGCTGCTTAACCATCATCTAACTCTATGAAGGAAATAATAATATATTTTCTAAGAGTTAACCCTGGATGCGGCAGAGCATTGCTCTTTCCTGGCTGCTTTCCTTACCTTATATTAATAAGATTTAACAGAAAACTTCTTTTTTTCTTTTGCTTTGCTAGGGGAAAATTCTTCTGAAAAATCAGATGATTTATCTTTAGGAAGTTCTAACCTATTGAGCAGTTGTTTACTTGGTTTTCTTTGTTTGTTTTATCAGCTCTTTAATTCTTACTGAATAACCAGTGTGACATTTAGAAACTAGCTGTTGTTTCTAATTTTATATGCAAGTACTATGATATATAGCCATTACTCTTCCGTAAAGGAGTATTTTACAATAATTCCTTGTAACTGCATTTGAGAGAGAAACCTTTTAAGATAAAGGTATATTAAAGAACTGCTTTTCTCTTGTAATTTTTTTGAGTGGTATGCATGCATGATTTTTGCTGAACTCAGTTATACTCAAAGAATTATAACTCTATATAGTGTTTATATAATTAACTTATAAAACTAAAGTGCCTGGGTTATACTTCATGCAGTATTGGTAGGATTTAATAAGGATTATGCCTGCACTAGAGTTTGTGCTTACAACCCACATATTCAATTTTTACAGAATTGTGAGCACATCTGCAGTTTTTTGCACTGTGGTTCCAGTTCAGTTCCTCTTGAGCTGAGGGAAACAAACTCATAAGCTAAAAGATTTTTTGCATTCAAGTATTTCCAAATCAGATTCATTTCCTCAGTCTCCAAGGCTGCTATACTTGAAAGCCCACTAGTCCCCCTGACTGTTTCCTGAGACTGTCTGTACCAAGGATGCACGGAGCCTCTGAACAAGTCAAGGTGGGGTACTTTTCCCACCCATTCCCAGTCAAGCTGATTTCAGCCTCCAGTACTGTCAGCTGTTGGGATCCTCCTGTCACTCCAGAAATACAAATGGGTTCTACCTCTTGATAGCTTGATGGCATCAGGGTACACTGTGCATCAGTGTCTACTAGAGCCTTATATTATACTCCTGTGGGACTCATGTGCCGAGCCATCTGCTCTACACATTCCAGTAAACCCAACTGTCCCTAGCTTCCACCTGGCTGGAGGCAAGGCCCTTTTAGTCCTGATTATAGAATTCTTCACTCACTTCTTGTGAAAGTGGATTAGAATTCCTTTCTATACAGTCAGGAGCCCTTCCACTGTGTCTGCAGCACTGCTCACTGGAGACTGTAGCAGCAATTTTCCTGGAAGAACATCCATTTGTGATTGTTTTTCCTTGCAGTTCATGTAGCTGTGACTCTAGGGCTGAGGTAGATTTTCCATCTCTCTTCCTCATGTCCACGTGGATTGTGTGCATTGGACTTCATCTGAATCTGTGAATGACTGTGTTATCACTTGCCTGGGTGGCAGATAACATCTTCCTTCAAGGGATACCTTTTCTTCACACTTGACAAGAGACTCCCAGAGGCTGAGGACTTGTGTCCCTTTTCCAATTGCCTTGTTCAATACCCCTTTCCCTAGAAAGTGATCCCATCTGCTTGGCTTCCCTGTCCTCTAATTCCAAACTGCCAGCCCCATTATCCCAGCACCAGAGCAGCTAGGTGTTAATATGTTCACCTGGATGACAGCTGAAATCTTTTCATATATTGAATTGGTTGCCCCTAAACAAAAAAAAAAGGGGCAGGAATTTTGTTGCTTAGTGTAAAAATGCACTTAGACTGATCTTAATGGAACTTCATTCTGTAAGTAATTAGGGGAAGTATGTTCAGCCTTTATACTTTTTAGAATTACAGTCCTAAACTTTTTAACTTTTTAGCTTTTTTTTTTCACTTTTTCTCTTCTAAGTTATTTTCAATTCTGAATTCCAAAAAGTCATTTGTTGACCAAGTAACATGATGTATGATGTTTAGCTTGCCAATTCTGTGTATTTTAGCCTTGCATTCACATTAAGTTGAATGTTTAATGAGAAATAGTCACTTGATTAATCTCTGCTGCGTAATCAGTATTGCTGCAATATGGTAATTCCAGGAATTCTAGTTTAACAGCTTTTCTGTTATGTAGGGAGTAGGTAGGATTCCTAGTATTCTTATAATTGAGACCCCAGCCCCCCCTAAAAAAAGTCAAAACATTTCAAACTTTGATTATATTAAATATAATGAAATAATGAGTTAAAGTATATCTTTGCTGTTTAGAGCTCTCCTATTTCCTCTTGTGGAACTTCATTTTAATTACAGCTCACATTTCTGTCCTTTATTCCAGTCATCTGCTGCTTGGTAGCATTTTTTATTGGCCTGATCTTTGTGCAGCGCTCTGGAAATTATTTTGTGACGATGTTTGATGACTACTCAGCTACTCTGCCCCTGCTTATTGTGGTCATTTTGGAGAATATTGCAGTCACCAGAATTTATGGAATAAACAAGTAAGTGAAGGAAATGTATCTTCCTGTACATACCAACAGTATTCATTACAATAGCAATTACTATTTAAAGCGTGAAGTATTTGCTCTGTATGCATAGATACAATTAAGCAGAAAGTGGGTCAATCTGGATGTGACTGAAAACAGGTTTGAAGCAAGATACACTGCATTTCACATAGTGAAACCCAAAGAGCAATTGCAACAGATACAAAGAGAGGAGAGTACAGAAAAAGAAGCAAAAGAAGAGAGTTAGAAAGGCGGCTGGATATGCAAGTATGAGGAATTTATGTAGAAATAAGACAGCAAGGGTCATAACAATTAACCGTTCTTTGCATTAGTTGTGAGAGGAAATAGAGAAAACTATAGGAAAAGACAGCATCAAAACTTACTTGGAAGCAGCCTGGTTGACAGTGAAGTTAAGTGAGTTTCTATCAGTGAAGGCTGAAGAGAAATGACCATCAAGTCCTTCTAATTTTTTACACTTTAAGACTGCAATCACCAGAATGCGTTCACTTAGCGAGATTGATATGTGCCATGCTTAAGGAGTAGAAGAGTTTGTATGACAAAATAACACATACAATCCACAGATAAAACAGAGTATACTATACTAGGTGCTGAAGTAATTTACACATCTGTGATTCCTTTGCATGTACAAAGGGTGCACAGAATGGGTGGGTTTTCATTTGACGTTTTGCTTGCGCAATCTGAGTAATCAGCCAGTCACTCACCATAATGAAATAAACTATATTAAGAAAATTCAACTTAATGGTTTCCAGACATTGTTTCTGGTCTGTGCAAGTAGTGCTGTGTCTGCGTACTTGTTAAAGGACAATTCCCACTTGGGCCACATGTATGACGCTATGATTGATCACATAAACATGAAAACACCATGTAGATGTTTTTGCACATGCAAATGAAAGATAAAGCGGAAGATCAGGTCGGTAATGTCCAGTCAAGTAGAGTTCCACTGTGAAGATAGACATGCCAAAAAAGTTTACCTGTGAGGAAGTTGATGTTAAGGAATAGCTGAAATACATAATATTTTGCTTCTGAGTCAGAGTACAGTTGATTCATGTTTTCAGAAAGGGTTCTGACAGGATAAAGTGAAAAGTTAACAGCCAATTTTCTTATTCATAATGGCCTCCTGAACCTCCCTCTGGAGTATTCCTAATACTTTCTCTGATGTATATTTCTCCAGAATATCCTTCTTCAGGAACCCAGCATTCTTGCTTGCAAAAATTGCCAGAATCAACAGCTTCAGGTTGTCATCAGCTGTGATAGTGCCGAGGGGTCCTCCTTGTAGATGAGGATCCATACATATTTTTCCTCTGTCTTTGATCAGATAGGAAAAAAGTAACACATTGCATCCAAAGGGATTACAGCCAAAGAATAGGCAATATCCTTCCTGTAGCCAAGAAGGAAAATCTTCTATGCTGGAATGAGTGCTAAAGGAGCTTGGTAGCTTTTAAAAGAGGATAAGTAGGATGGAGATGGTGAAAAACTTAAAGTGAAGATAATAGATTTATGCTCAACTGGATGAAGTACTGGAGATTCCAGAAAGGAGAGGCTATCTATAATGGAGCACAATACATTTGTAAATTTCAGCTTCATCTTAACAATATGCTTCATTGCAGTGTAAGCAAGGGATAGAACAGTCCACACTATGCAGTTCAAAAACATTTTTGAGTTTATATGACAGTAGCTTCACATGTGTAACTGCTTTGAAAACATTTGTTTCTATGAGAGCTTTTTTTGAGAGGCACATTTCAGAAGGGAGTGGGATCAGAAGGGAGTTAAAACAGAATTAGTGCTTGAGCACACTCCAAAAGAATTAATTCTAAAAATAGTCTCTCTTTTTCTACTGGCTCTGGAACCATGTACTCCTCCGTCAAGAGTACAAAAAATAGGAGTTTTGTTCATATCATAACTTGCAATTTTGAGGCACAGGGAGACAGATTTAAAACGTCACAAAGTTTTTTTCAGCACTTACATGATGCAAACCATACCTTATGCATAAAATTATTTTTTACACTGCACCAACATGTGGGTTCAATATTAATTTTGCGGAATCTGTAAGATGTGCTGGTTTTATATGTCCTCAGAAGTAATGACACATGCCTTAGTAAATAACCCAATAGACAATGTAAGAAGATGTAAAAAACAATCTTCTAAAAGGAAGGTGAGTTTAAATATCTTTCCAGCACAGTCCAACAAGCACTTTACTAAATCACTGCACTGTGTAGCAAATCCACCTGTTCATTTGTTCTGAACTAGAGACATAAAGTAGGTTTTTTTCAGCCTATTAAGTAATCTAAACTGCAGCCTTTTCTATACATGCAGTTTTTCAGGGTCGGTTCCCTCAAATTCATTGCTATGTATCAATTATAGTACTTAAAATTTCAGTATTTCAGTGCACGCACTAACAATAAGCTTTTATTCCCTTCACAGGTTTATGGAGGATCTGAAGGATATGCTTGGGTTTTCTCCAAGCCAGTATTATTACTACATGTGGAAGTATGTTTCACCTTTAGTATTGTTGTGTTTGTTGGTAGCTAGTGTTGTCCAAATGGGATTAAGTCCTCCTGGCTACAGTGCTTGGATTGAAGATAAGGTATGTATCTAACAGTTGCTATAGAATCATAGAATAGTTAGGGTTGGACAGGACTTTAAGATCATCTAGTTCCAAGCCCCCTGCCATGGGCAGGGACACCTCACACTAAACCGTGTCACCCAAGGCTATCATAGTGATCATATCTGAAGTATTTCAGAAATACATAAAAAGACAAAAGAACTGCAATTAGAAATTCATAATCAGTATAAATAATGACATGGTTGTTTTTATCTCAAGTAACATGAATGTAAAACCAGCCATTTTTTAAATTTTAGAGTAGTTCTGCTTTAAAATACAGCTACTTGCCATGAACCTTCATGGTTTTTGTGACTTTTTTAGTTTGTTGATGCATGTTGGAGAAATTCTTAAGGTTGGGAGAAGTTACTCACTTTCCTTAAATCTTATTTTCCTAGAGAAAATCAGTTGGAACTTGATGATCTTAAGGGCCTTTCCAACCCTAACTATTCTATGATTCTATGATTCTATGGAAATAGTTGGGCGATAACACTAAATAAATAATTTCAGATGGCATATTTCTTTTTTAATGTGAAATTAAATACTATGATTTAGCCATGTCATAAATTTTCCCCTTTGGGAATGCATATCACATTGTAGGTAACAGCTGCATTAAAATCTGTTTCTGATAGGAGTGTTTGATTTGTACAAAACTTGTCTGTGTGAATAGTAAAGTAAGTGCTGCATGTTGGCTCCAGAAAGAAATTCAGTCGAAGTAACTCCTAAGAGTTCTACTAGCATTTAGGCTCAACAGCCCTCAGCTCTTTCTACAGGCTTGTCATACAAAACACAGGGAGGGAAAAATATCAGAGAAATGAATCTTGGGGACTCTTCTGAATGGACAACTGTCTGAATTAGCTGTGGTGAGATTGCAGCAAAGACAGGTAAAGCATAAATGCAAGAGGTTGGCTTTACAATAGGTAGACATCTGCTTTTAATGAGACAACCACTGCTACTTTCTCAGGATTCTTAGAAAAATGTTCTTGTTTATGTTTTATTCTTGCCCTCAAAAATTAGAAAGAGAATGACCTTAGAATAACAAATAGAATATTCCTTTCCATGTGTATAAAATCAAGCAAACTGAATTTGTTGGCCAGTGAGTCATGGTATGGGGTGCAGTCACTGCCCCAGTAAGTGTGTTTGTTATAGTTTGCATTAAATTTATAAGAAGTGGAACAATTCCACAGAGTCATCTGGGACTGTCCCTGTCTAGACTAGCTGCTGGCCTACAAGGACTTCTTTTCCAGGCACAGTAACAAATTCCACTGCACACTTGTCTGTCCTGAACATCCTTTAAAGAATTGGAGAGCAGCTGCAGACAAACGCACCAGAAAGGCTATTGTGAAAATTTTGATTTGTTTACTGCTGGAGTACTCTGAGCATCTCAGAAACTGTGGGACGGTGTTTAGGTCCTGCTGACTGGCAAAAAGGTGGCAATCCTACATCTCCATTTGAGACCTGTAATGATGCCCACATTGTGGGTGCAAGGTGACAGGAAGATGAAAATGGCACACCTTGGTGAGGACTGCAGGTTTGCTCTTTTTCAGTGAAGACTTATTCTTTGTTTTTCTCTTGGATTCCTCAGGCCATGGAAGAGTTCCGCAGCTATCCAACATGGGGAATGATTGTCTGTATATCCCTGATGGTGTTGGCCATACTGCCAGTCCCAATAGTCTTCATGGTGCGCCGTTGCAACCTTATTGATGACAGCTCTGGTAGTTTGGCATCTGTATCCTACAAAAGAGGCCGGATAATAAAGGAACCTGTTAACCTGGAGGGGGATAATACAAGTCTGATTCATGGGAAGAGTCCAAGTGAAGTGCCGTCTCCAAATTTTGGCAAAACCATATATCGAAAACAGACAGGTTCACCAACTCTGGATACTGCTCCAAATGGACGTTATGGTATTGGATACCTGATGGCTGATATGCCTGATATGCCGGAGTCTGATTTGTAACTGTGGAAAAAAAGATGCTGTTAGTTTCTTTTCTCTCACTGATCATGGCTCTCCTACGAGAAGTGGTCAGCTTCAATTAGTAGGGTGCGATCTCAGGTGCTCCACAGCGACAGTCTTTAAAATGTCATGACTGTATGTACAGGTTGAGAAAACTGGCTTTGGATTAATCCTCTGGGGTTTTGTTTGCACTGAAGGGAACACATTCGAAATCAGTGGTAGCCTACATCTGCCAGTATAGCCAAGGATTTAATTCATTTCTAAATTTAAAGCTTTCTATCTCCAAAGCTCAGGTGTCACTCAAATGGGAAACTATTTGTGTGATAATATCAGTGAAAATCCTTTTTTTTTCTGCTTTTAGGTTAACTCCCCAGTATTAAAAGTGAACTCCAAAGTAGTTCACCAAACCCATGTTTGTGTAAACACTTGTATACTTTATGTAGATATGCTGTACTTATTTTGTTAGCACTGATAATTACTTAGGCTATTAGCTGAGTCAAAAACAAACCTGCAAACTATTTTCTTATGTAATAGCTGTATAGAGCAGTAGGATTAGAAAATCGAGTAGACTTACAGGAAGGTGAGGAAAGATTCCCTGTTCACTGGGGACTGCATAAACTGCGTCTGTATACTTTGCTTGCTTTTTCAGTGTGAAAACAATGTTAGAGTGAGTCACTCCAAGAATCTTAAGGATTGTGCAGATTCTGCATTTTTTTCTATGCTGTGTGCCTAAAAAAGACCTTCTTGATATTTATTGTGGTTACAAAATTACATATATATTATATTTATATAATATACTTGTAATGTATATATGTATATTATTCTGTACGTAATCATTTCAAAAGTTGAAGCAAGATGGCTTTTTTAATTAGTTTCCTTCAGTTTTGCTTCTGTTTTATGCAGGTAATTTTTTTCAGTCGGTAATTGTTGAGAACTGTATGGCATTACATTTTAACCTATGAATAAAGAGATTGACAAGGTGTTTCTCTGTGATTTCCTAATATACTTATTATAACACAGCCTGCTTTTCCCTCTCTGGGTAAAAGAAACCTGCACAACGGCAATTACAGCAGGAGTGACCATATGTGAAAGTAACACCTCTGAAGACTCCATGTCTCCCTGCAGCCCATGGAGGTCCATGGTGGAGCAGATCTCCACCTGCAGTCTACAGAGGACACCATACAGAAGCAGGGCAATGCCTGAAGGAAGCTGTGACTCTGTGGGGATCCTGTGCTGGAGCAGGCCCCTGGCAGGATCTGTGGCCCCATGGAGAGAGGAGCCCACACTGGAGCAGGTTTGCTGGTGAGCCCATGGGGACCCAGGCTGGAGCAGTCTTTTCCTGAAGGTCTGCACTTCATGGAAGGGGCCCATGATGGAGCAGTGTGTGAAGAACTGCAGCCTGTGGGAAGGGCTCTCTCCCCTGGGAGAAACCCCAAGCTGGAGCAGAGAAAGAGTGTGAGGAGTCCTCCCCTGAGGAGGAAGGAGTGGCAGACATGTGTGATGAATTGACCACAATCCACATTCCCCGTTCCCCTGAGCTGTTCCGGGGTGAGGAGGTAGAAAAATCAGGAATGAAATTAAGCCCAGGAGGGAGGGAAGGAGTGGTGGGGGCAGGTGTTTCAAGATTTGTTTTTCTCTAATTATCCTACTCTGATTTGATTTGCAATAAATTAAACAAACTTACTTCCCTGAGTTGAGTCTGTTTTGCCTATGATAGTAATTCATGAATTACGCATCTTTGACCCAGGAGCATTTTGTTGTACATTCCCCTTGCTGCCAATTGAGGGGTGTGATAGAGCAGTTTTAGTGAACATTTGGCATCTAGCCACAGTCAATTCACCACAAATAGCTTACAGAATATCATGCAGAGAATTAAAAAGAGAAAAGAGAAAAAAAGGATAAGAATAAGATAAAAAAAAAAGGAAGAAAAAGTTGAACAATCATAAGCCTATTTTCAGGGATCAGCAGGCACATGCTAGCTGATGAATCCTCGTGCTGGCATAATGGTCCCAGCGATCTTGTCACACTAGGAAGGAATCAGTTATGTTTGTGATAGCAGTAGCAGACAAAAGAAGGATGTGTTTGCAAAAGGTTTTAGATACTCTGAAGATACTAAAATATAATTGATGACCATGAAAGACAAACGTGCAGTGTTCAGCTGAGATGCAGTGTATTCAAAAAAAAAAAAAAAAAAAAAAAAGCTTTTTACTGCTGCAACATCTTTGAGAAATTAGCAGAAATGTAGTTATGACAGTTTTTTAAAATGCAGCATCCTTAACATAAACATTTAAATGCCTAGTTAGATGCTGTGATTTGAGGAAAAAATCAGAAATATGAGATGTGATTTACTTCCTTTGCCACTGGATGGTGCTCATATTTCATGTGTATTGGTAAAATGGCGTGTTCAGGAGTTTTTAAAAGGGGAGAATGCTGTACTTTTATTCTTTACCAAGACAGAGGAATCTTCAGAGTGATCATAGCCTTATTAAAACCCAGAACTTTACTAATTTGTTGTACCTTCAGGTGTTTTAATAGATAGTTGATTATTTTATATCCAAGAAACAAAGAGGCTCTGAATCTTCAATGCTTGTAAAAGCAGCAACACACTGTCAGTATCCCAGTGCCAAGTAGTACACTTTTGGGTCTTGGAAGCAAGCAGCAGCTTCTTGATTCAATATTTTGAAATCAATAATTTTCTAGCATGCTTTTGTTTTTCAAATATCCTATTTGTTGCTATTCTCATTTCATAAATTAGACAGTTAATTAGTTGGCAAATTAATTAGTGGAATAAGGAAATCTCAAAATGTAGTATTACTATTAACACTAATAATATTAAAGAGTTCAACACTTCTCACTGCCATCATCAGTAAATGCTGAAGGTTGCAACGAGTTAGAGTTGTAGATGAGAACTGACGGTCAGCAAGAAGCACTGAAAATGGACAGCAGCTCAAGGAGCAACTGAAGCTTGCAACTTTGCTTCTGAGGAAAGAAACTACTGTGATATCTGGTAGTGTTTTAAAAGTAGTACAGGTACTAAAACATGTCTTGGGCAGCTGTTTAACCCTCTTGATAAAGAAAATGGAAAGCATTTCTCACTAGCTCTGGCAGAACCACTGTGCCTTTCGTCTGTATTGTATTCATCACAACTTAGTACTAAATAAGTGAAAAATATTAACTAAGACACTCTTCTCAAGTCAGTGTCAATACATTTCTCTGTTGTCATTTTGGTTTTTTTTTTCCGACAAATTACACAGGATGGTAATGAGAGCTCCTATGCCATAGTCTTTAAATTATGGTGTTAAGATAAAGAATTTATTCAGTGAAAAAAAAACAACCAACAAACCAGATTTAGACATTCTCCTTATTTATTCAGTCCCATATCCTTTTCTGCTTTTAAGTTGTTTCTTGGATGTCTCATGTCTAATCCGAACTCAACAGGTGGAAAATGAAGAATGTGTTTTCAAACACTAGAAATTCAAAGATAAGAGATACTCTCTTAGCTAAAAGCAGAGTTGATTAGAAAACAGAAAAATTATAAGAAAAAATAAATTTGCTTCAAAGCAAGAATAATTAGTTTCAGATTTTTTTTACTCAAGCAAAAAGTGCAGACATGTGAAGGAAGAGTCAGGTTTGCAAACTAAAGAATGAGAAATTAGGAAAAATGTTAAGAGAGTCATGAAAGGGGGTGGAACTGAAATGGAGCTCATTAAAAGAAGGAAGAAAAAAATACTGAGGAAATAAGACTCAATGAATGGCAAAGCATAAATTAAAAAGATAAAAAGATATGGGGGGAAAAAAAGGACGTCAGTAAGAAAACAGGTTTTGGTGGCTACATGAAGTATGATATAATCAAGCCTTTAGAAGAAACAGTCTACAGTTAGATGTAGCTGTTAAAGAGAGGTATGAAGATAGGCTGAAAAAGTTGGGACTGTTTAGCCAGGAGAAGAGAAGGCTGCAGGCAGACCTCATAGCAGCCTTCTAGTATCTGAAAGGGGACTATAGGGATGCTGGGGATAGACTCTTCTTTAGGGACTGTAGTGACAGGACAAGGGGCAATAGTTGACACTTAAACAGGGGAAGTTTAGACTGGATATAAGGAAGAAGTTCTTTACTGTTAGGGTGGTGAGGTACTGGAATGGGTTGCCCAGGGAGGTTGTGAATGCTCCATCCCTGGCAGCGTCCAAGGCCAGGTCGGACAGAGCCTTGGGTGAGAGGTTTTAATGTGAGGTGTCCCTGCCCATGGCAGAGGGGTTGGAACTAGATGATCTTAAGATCCTTTCCAACCCTAACTATTCTGTGCTTCTTATTCTATGAATCAAAGGTGGTTGAAGTTTTGTTAGTATAGGAGGAGTGGGAGAGAAAAGGACCGAATCAGGGCAAGGGAATGCTGGGCTGGGAAGAAAGACTTGGGCTGTGTCAAAATCAATTTCCCTTTAAGTACTCAAGTGCCTTTGATGTACTGAAAAGTCTGGTTATTTTTCATAAAGCATTGTGAAATGTTCTGGAGAAAGATGTTAAAGAAATGCAGCCTTCCAAAATTATTTTATTTTAGCTGTCTGATTTAAAGACAAAACTATCAGGGTGAAATAGCAGGCAAATTGTGCCATGGATTTAAGGTTTAAGGAGAAAAGTAGTTACTTAAAAGCACAGAAAACTCAATGTATGAGGATGTGAGGTTACAAAAAATGAGAGATTGTGACTAACAGCTCAGAGTCAGAATCTCTGTGTCGCTGTGATTTAACATTGTAATAAATCTCCTGAGCACTTCCCTAGCGTCAATAGTCCCAGCCGTTACTTACAGACTTGAAATTAGCCAGAACCTCAAAGCACCTAAATGGTATACATTTTACTGCCTGGTCCCTGGAATGAAAACTAGATACCCAGCCTCCCATATGCAGTGCATCTGGACAGTCAAGTGTTCCAAAATTATGAATCTATAAATGGGTGACATTTGATGTGGGACTCGAGTGTGACAGAACCCCTTGTTCTCAAAAAAGAAAATCTGAGGCACTCTGGAGAAATCAGGCAGGTGAGACATTAATGTCTGTGGGTCTTTACGGAAACTGAGCATTCAGCTCTGTTCAAGTAAAAAATAGTTTGAGTAAAATAAGTGTTTAATAACATGGATGTCATATTTAACGAAGATGTCATGAATGTTCTGCTTGCCCCTAGGCAGCAAAACTGTAAAATATAAACTGGTTATCTGACTTAAAAATATTGAGTAGCTTGCAAACGTGGTAAGCAGTATATGTACACATTACCTACACCTCTACATAAATGTACGGCTACAATTCAGCTGGCTTTCTGAGAGAAGAGAAAAATAAGGATGGAAGAACAGGAGGCACTTAAGGATCTGTCTACTCCTGAAGAAGATTTATTTCCAAATGAATTCAAGATTATTCTGTAAAGAGTCTTAAAAGTGGTAAATGGCTGAAAGTAAGTAAGGTCACTACATAAAGAAAGAACTTTTGAATTAGAGAAATAGGAGGCTTCTTGAGAAAAATTTTGAAATTTCATAAGAAACTTTAAAACCTTCCCCAGCCCTCAGGTCCTCTAGGGTCAGTTTAACAAGGCCTCCATAGATCTCATAGATATCCCAGTGCAAGGTCAAGCTCTCGTATGTCTTAATTCACACATTGTTATAAGCTTCCTTTTGATTTTGATTCCTCTCTGCTGCCCCAGGATTTCTCAGATGGTTCCCATTTTCACCACAGGCTGCACAAACAGCTGTGCTGTCACAATGGATGTGGCGGTGTGGAGGCAGGAAGGAAGGGCTGGGAGTGGAAATTGCTTAAACCTTCACTGCCACCCAAGAAAGAAACATGGAATTTTGCTTTCAGCCTCAAAAATACCAAGTTTTTTCTATGAAAATGTTGTTATGAACAACTAAACAGTAGGAAAAAAATCCACAGTCTGTCTCTTAAAGATTTTACTTAATTTACTGTTGACAGGTAGCTGAAAATTATCCAACACATGGCGTAGAG